TCGGGTCTAGAATTAGGGATGGCAGGTAGACGGCGGCTGCGGGAAGAGGGCGGAGGAGGGGGATTAGACGGGCGGGAAATAATCATTTCGTATTGGAGTGGGTACGGGGTGGAGGTGGTTGAGAGCAGACGTGCAGAGAAGGTTTTTGTTAGGTTTAAGGGGAAAGAATGGGTGCGAAACGGCGGCGTTTGAAGGAAGAACTTGGCTTTGAACCGATGGAGGAGGAGAGATGAACGGGCCAGAGGCAACGGCGTCACCGCCATTATTAAGGGTGTAGGTATCTGCCGGTCGACGGGGGTGGATTTTAGCAGTTATTCGTTAGCCAACACTTGTATACAGTTAGCAAGTCGATAAATTTTTCTCTCTCTCGGGTTTATATGTTTTGTGTATAGTTTCAACTTTTGGTTAATTAGACAATTATATTTTAATTTTATGAAATTCCATCGCTTCAATTGATAGAAATCGTAATGGTAGTCATTATTTCATTAAAGTTCAGATGACACAATTATTCGTCTATCATCATTTTCTTCAGTGTCAAATATATTCATATTAAAATAAGATTTTGACAATCTTTTCATTTAATGTTTTATTAACATGATTTAAATTAAAAGAATCACTCTATTATTTGTGTCACGAAAGGAAAAAAATATATATACACTTGAATAAAAACTCGCTTTTCTATAATTTTGATGAAGGAATTCTTCATATTGTTTGCTTAAGCTTTGATGATATAGTTTTAACTTCGTTTAGAAAAGACGGCATAACCTTAACCGATTGAAAGACACAACCCGCATTTTTGCATGTCTGGCCACTTCGACCATCTCCATGTTCAGCACCCCAAGTGCGTTGTCACCAAAGATTTGTCTGTATTCAGCATGCATATTTAAGATGATATTGCAGATATTGAGCGCTCATAACCAAAAAAAATTACCATCGACAAATGCAACTGCAATGTGATATGATATATGGTTCGAATAGTAACCTTAGGCATCATTGACATCATCCAAGCATAAAGAGAGCTTATAACAAGACTACCTTAAAATAAATTAGCTGAATAACATCTTTATATCCATTTGGTCAAGGATAAGTTTATGAAGTGAATTACTTCACAGATTGTGTTCTATGCTACCCTCATAGAGAAACTTGTTCCTATCACAATATATATAACCAGTGCGTCGGTGCTTCCTAGTATCAAAGAGTTTCTCCCTTCAGTATCTGCTTGCCTACACCATTGCTTCCCATTTTAATGGAGATTCATCTCATGGTGTGGGATCTTACTCCCCGTTTTGCAATCTCCTACTCACTAAATGAGTCTTCAGACAAGGAATTGTCCTCTACCACCTCAGCAGTAAGTCTGTTCAAACCTCTGTTCGTGTTCCTTCCCATATCTCACTTCATCCCATCATAGTCTCTCTCATCACTACTGTTCCTGTATTGACTAATCGAGCCTCCAAAATTTCTTGGGCCGTGTCCTACTCCATCATCTGACTCCTATAAGACATCTTCCAGGTCACTTAACGGATCTTTTGCAATGGAATCCTGTTTAGAGAATCTACTGATTGATTCAATTTACATTTCTCTTAATGTTGGTTCATCCAGTCTTATTCTACTACTCTCTCTCCATTTTACTCGCAGCAAATCTATCAAAAGCTTCCTCGGAGTCTCCACTATCGTTCCCGTGATTCACACTTCTAGTATCTTCAGAATCCCATCCGCCATCAAGCTCAGAAGCTTCTCCATCTTCACCACCACTATCAATGATTTTCCTTGTTCCTCTGTTCTCATCATCTGAATCTTCACTTCCATTAGCTTCAGATCTTCTTAATCTACCATCTTAATCTTCCTTGTTCCAATGTCTGATTCGTCCAAGGTTTTCTATCTCTGCTGCTTCCTCAACCCATTCTTTATTAGCTGCAACTTCGATCTCAGCAATGAAGCGGTCAAGCTCCTCCTGGTCACCGTCATCTTCTGCAGACTGTTGTTGTCGAAGACCATCGGGTTCCATTCATATATTTTTGTCCTCCTGATAAACACAAGGACTTCCATCTCTCTTGTCACTTGCGCTAAAGAATGAGGACGCCACTCTCTGGATGCTTGCCATGGCAACTGGATCGTCAGGATTTACTCCCTTCCACCGAAGCTCTTGTTCTGTTTTCTTTATGTTTAGTTTTTGAGATTCAAGTGCTTGTTCAAATCGTGCTTTGAATAAAGCCTGCACGGTGAAGAGACAAATAGTTAAATTTCACTACACTGTATATGTTCAGAAAGTTTTGAGTAACAAAGAGACCAAGTTAAAGACGCTTGGCAAATGCAGTAAGCCACAAGATTGAAAATATCGTAACTAGCTATTAGCAGATAATAAAACTACTGAGACCTGCAAATCTGGGGTTAAATTGTCAGTTGTAAATGTGCACACCTGTTGCAATCACAGTGCACTTTGTTAGGTAGTTAGGGGATTGTGTCACAATCATGTGGATGATAATTCTCTTTATTATTCTATATATACTCTGCACTGTGCAAAAGTCAAGTTGTGGAGAATACAATATTATCTTCTCTGCCTTCTTTTCTGTTATTTCTCACATGGTATCAGAGCCATGACATCTCCGAATTCTAGCCTAGAAAATCAAGTCCCAACCACCGAATCCAGCCTTCATCCGGTCAATACTGCTGAACCCACTCCTAATTTCTCATTTTCTCCACAGCCACAACCTTCTAAACCTATAAACCCTGCAAATCAACTAGCTATTGTGCGCCTGGATGATGGAAATTTTCTCATATGGAGACAGCACGTTCTTGCTAGAATTCACAATTTTGGGTTGTTGAGATTTATTGATGGTTCTACTGTCTGCCCTCCAGAACTTACATCAACGATAAATGGTAGACCAGGGTCCGTCAAACTGGACTATGTTCTCTGGCATCGCTAAGACCAATTGATATTTTCTTGGTTATTGGCGTCAATGACAGAGAATATTCAAGCCCAAATGGTGGGATCAAACACTACATAATGGGCCGTATCAGTTTAATCTGTTTAAGGCATCTCCTACATCATCCAAATTGTCAACCTGAAGTTCTTCTATTCAACATCAGTCGTGTCATCCTACTGCTTTTTCTTTACAGTCAATAGGTGCTAGTTTGAGTCTAGTGTCTTCAAGTCCAGTTAAGTCTAATGTTCTAACATTATGGACCTCTGGCATATGAAGCTTGGTCATCCCGCTGCTTCAATTGTCAAGGCGGTTCTGTGCTCGTGTAATATCCCTACTCATATGAATGACTATTTATCATTTTGTTCTGCTTGCCAAATGGGGTAAAGCAAAAAGTTACCATTCTCTCATTCTGAGGTTGTTTATCACGACCTATTACATTTGATATATTCTGATCTATGGGGTCTGGCATTCACACCCTCCACTAATGGTTATCGCTATTATGTGAGCTTTGTGGATGCTTACTTAATATTTACTTGGATATTTTTCATTAAAAGCAAGTCAGAAGTTTGCCCTGTTTTTCTTTGATTCAAGGCTCAAGTTGAATTATTACTCGACAAAAAGATCAAAATTCTACAAACTGATTGAGGGGGTGAATTTCGGTCCCTTACACCATACTTAAATTCAGCTGGGATAACAAACGGACATTCTTGTCCTCATACATCAGAACAAAATGGAGTCATTGAACATAAGCATATACACATTGTTGAGTGTGGTCTTATTCTCTTAGCCCAAGCCTCACTACCTCTAAAATTTTGGGATGATGCTTTCTCAAGTGTCGTATACCTTATCAACAGATTACCTACTACAGTCTTGAGTGGCCAGTCTCCTTTGGAAAGGCTATTGCATACCAAACCTGATTATTCATTTTTACGTGTGTGTGGCTGCATGTGTTTCCCTTGCCTTCGGCCCTATAATAAACACAAGTTAAACTTTCGATCAGTCCCTTGTACATTCATTGGTTACAGCCTTAACCACAAAGGATATAAGTGCTTAGCACCCAATGGAAGGGTTTTCATATCTCGTCATGTAGTGTTTGATGAGAAAACTTTTTCATATGCTTCACAAAATTCCTCTACAATTTCTAGTGTCGGCCAACCTCCTTCAGTCCTTTATCCGCCATGCAATCAACTCATCTTGGACAATCCTCTACTACTTCTTTGCTAAGAACTACTTCCAACCTTGATTTCTCACAGCAAAACTCTCCAGTACCTCATCCTCCGACACAATCCCTCATTACTTCCTAGTGAATCAACCACCGAGCCTGTATCATTGCCTACTGTTCTGCCTTCCCTGTCAGATTCATCGCTTGTGGATCCACCCCTATTAATACTCATCATATGGTCACCCAATCCAAAGCTGGAATTTTTAAACCTAAAGTTCTTCTCACTATCGAACTACAAAATAGTGAACCAAACTCTTTCAAAGAAGCTCTAAAATGTCCACAGTGGAATATGGCAATGCATGAGGAATATGCTGCATTAATTAACACACACTTGGACCTATGTCTCTTTGCCCCCAGATAGAAAGCTGATTGGTTGAAAAATGGGTTTCTAAACTCAAGAGAAATCCTGATGGTTCTATCTCTCGATACAAGGAGCGACTGATTGCAAAAGGTTATCACCAAGTTCATGGGTTTGATTACATAAATACCTTTAGTCCTGTAGTGAAACCAGTAAAAATACGTGTGGTTCTCTCCATTGCTATTAATCGTAGATGGTATAAATAATGCATTCCTTAATGGCATATTGCATGAAGATATATATATGGCTCAGCCTCCTGGATTTAAAGTTCCTGCACCAAATGATAAGGTAGTTTGTAAGCTCAATAAAGCTCTGTATGGGTTGAAACAAGCCCCTCGGCGTGGTTTGATCGTTTAAAGACTTATCTCTTTTCTCTTAGCTTTCAAGCTTCTCGAGCAGATACTTCTCTTTTTATCAAATGCAATGCCACACTTTGTATCTATGTCCTTGTATATGTAGATGATATTTTGATCACTGGTAGCAGTAGTCCGACAATTGAGTCTCTGATTTCTTGCTTACATTCCGAGTTTTCCTTGAAAGATTTGGGCAGTCTTCATTATTTTTTAGGGATTGAAGTGTAGCACACTACTGCTGGTGGTTTATTGTTGTCCCAAGAGAAGTACATCTAGGATTTCCTCAATCGAGTTAAGATGAGCAATGCTAAACCGCAACCAACTCCCATGGTGGCAAATAGCAAACTTGTCCCTCACTTCCTCTAATGGTGATCCATTTGCCAATCCAATTTTATACCAAAGCACTGTTGGGGCATTGCAATATGTAACAATTACTAGGCCTGAAATAGCATACTGTGTAAATAAAGTATGCAAATCATGCAGTCTCCTCTTGAAACACATTGGAAGGCAATGAAACTCATTCTTCGATATCTTTGTGGTACTGCAAATCATGGTCTCCACTTCTGCAAGTCTAATAATCTCTATCTTCATGGGTTTTCGGATTCTGATTGGGCACTGGACTTAGATGACCGCCGTTCCACTTCTGGTTACTGTTTATTTCTTGGGAATAATCTGGTTTCATGGAGCTCAAAGAAACAATCTACTGTTTCTCGTTCAAGTGCTGAAGCTGAATACCGTAGCTTAGCCAACGCTACTTCTGAATTAATGTGGCTGCAATCTTTGCTTAAGGAGCTCCGAATCTATCAAACCAAAATTCCAGTCATATGGTGTGATAACCTGAGCACGGTGGCTCTTAGTGCTAATCCAGTTTTACATTCTAGTACGAAGCATTTGCAACTTGACCTCTACTTTGTCAGGGAGCGCGTTCTTAATAACACTCTAGCTGTCCAGCATGTTCCTGCATTTGAACAACTTGCAGACATCCTCATAAAACATCTTGCTGTTCAACACTTTAATCGGCTGAAGCACAAACTAAGGGTTCTTGCTCCTACTACCCTTCGTTTGCGTGGGAATATTAGCAGATAATAAAACTACTGAAACCTGCAAATCTGGGGTTAAATTGTTATTTGTAAATGTATACACCTGTTGCAATCACAGTGCACTTTGTTAGTCAGTTAGGGAATGTGTCACAATCATGTGGATGATAATTCTCTTTATTATTCTATATATACCCTGCACTATACAAAACTCAAGTTGTGGAGAATACAACATTATCTTCTCTGCCTTCTTTTCTGTTATTTCTCGCACTAGCAATCCATGTCTTGCACATAAACGGTTGCTAAGAGACTAAATTTCCCATGTGAGGAAAGAATGCACTTCGCTATATTTTTAATTTTCATTTATTTATACTATTAAAAACAGGCGATTCATTTGTTTAAAATTTCTTCAACTTTTATTCTATAATGAGTTTAACCCGAATCCCACAAAGAAACTTGACAGCATATCATATTAAGAATTCAAGCAAAGCATTGACATTCCACAAGATATCACGAGCTCAAATGCAGACATCTTCAGTAGCCAAATTGAAGCATAATATAGACATTTTGAGGAACTAGATTTAAACAAGTAGAATAGTACATTTTTTACAAATTACAAAGTAAAATATCAACAACTTACTGTTCTTAGATTGTAAGTGAGGCGTTCCTCGTCGGTCATCAACTTCTTCCTCAACTTTTTAGCCCTCCGAATCTCTCTCCGGGGTTTTGCCCGACTCCTTTCGCATCCGCCTCTCCACTTTGCTCCTCATGCTCTTTGCCGAAAACTCCCGAGGCCCTTCGGACTGATTTCAAAATTTTGCTAAAGGTTACAAGTTCCTATCCTTTATCGGAAATAAAAAATTTGGCCTAGTCACATTGCTTGAGCTAGGGATAAATTTCACCTGACCATAGTTTCTGGCAAGCATTACATCCCTAAATAATCTATAGATATTAGTAATTAAATAAAATTCGCAAAAACAAGAAAAAATATTGAGTAAACATTACATGGAGGTGGTGTTGAGGAGAGAGGAGACGGCTCTGAGGGTGTGCTTTTGGAGATTTCTTGCAGACACAAACATTTCTTCTTTTTCAGGGTTTCCAAAATTTCAACCAGAGAATCACTTCAATTCATTGATGAATTCCATGGTTATT